CATACTAACCAACAACCTTATCATCGATGGTATTAGGATTCAAAGTGTGAATGATTTTATTCGAGGAAGCATGGGGTAGATAACAATGAGCATGGTAGCAGCAATGAAAGAGAGAAAGTGAAAAGCGAGGTTAGTCTATGAGGTATGCAAATGTGATGAGGCATAACAAAGTTGATCAAGAGCCAGCATCCACTTGTTGCTTTGCAACGCTTCAGCCAAGGCTTTCCAATTACGAGCCCAGCAAAGTAGGCGTCAATGCCTCAAGCCAATGTTCCCATGCTGGGCACAACCAAGAAGGTCGTGGCCGAGGAGAACGTACCGGATACGTTGGTCAAAGGGCGTCGGAAGACACGACTATGCAGTAAAAACAGGCCAACCATTAGACAAACCCGAAAGGATAGTCTTTTTATGGTTGAGTTGCTTGCGCTTTCATGGAAGTTACAGTAGCCATATTTATTGTCACATTTCCCAGAAATAAGCGTATATGCCTGCAAACAACAACTTCTCAACTTTGCTTGAGATTTATCGAATTCAATTCGTCTGCACCTGCAGCCCAGACGCATTGGAGCTCTACTATGGCAACGGTAACCTTGTGCATTCAAACGTCATCTTTCTCAGCTCATACAAGCCATACGTTTGGCGGCCAGGGAGATGGGCAAGAATTGACATAACGGCAGAAGACACAACAACTCGGTGTACAAGATCGTTGCACTTTGGCACTGCAACAAGAAGTGTTAAGTAGCAGTTACTTGTTTATTTTGTCATAAATAGTTTGGCAAAATGGGGCTTTGACATTTACCGATTTGTCATGGGCTAAACGGTCGCAAAACGCCTGTGCCAACATCGGCGATGTGCAGTTGTCAGGAGGTCTTTGGCAAAAATGCCCTTCTCTCCGTGCACGATTGCTTAGAAATGAAGAGACAGTTAAACCTAATGCTACTGTTCAACTTGCGCGGGAAACTTTAGAAGGTGAAATTCAAGTCGCGTTTGCAGCCGGCTCATCACGCAGTGAGCCTGCTTGCTGGTATACACATAGTTTAAGCAAAATTATATTTTACAAACGAACAGGATATCGTTTACTGCCGGGAAGAGAAAAAGAGAGCAAGGGTAGAATACAAGCCAACATAAGCGGACTTTCTGGCGGATCGATTCTGCTCAACCAAATGATGGTTCCACGCAAATTTCCACTCGGATAGATCAAGACGTGAGCTCTGTTGGCTACCAAGGGACTGAGTCAGTGTGTTTTGGGTGTTCATGTTTGTGTATGTGTGTATATATTTTTCGGATGGAAGCTTCACTTTACAATGTTTTTCCGGTATTATGCTCCTTCATGCCAGCTCTAATTGTAGAATTTGAATGGATCTAGCCTGGCAGTCAAGGCTTCCTTTTAAGGCATGAGTATTATTGACGAAGAAATAGAAATTCCACGCATGACTGCATGTTGGAGCTATTCTGGTAGCATCGCTATGCGTGTTCTGCAGACAGGTAGCATACAATATCGTCTCTAATGGCTTGGAAAGTTAAATACAACAAAATAAGGTGTAGGGCTTTAGAGATGAAACTAATATTCATCACTTCACAGGCATGGCAACAATTGATTTCATGTAACAAAGGGGGGAGATTCTGCCTTTAGGCACTAAACGTCAACTGGGTTTGCAGTCGCCCCTCCATGCCGCCGACATCCTCGAAGCCTGAGGCAAAAGGATGCGATTTACGCTGTGTAGAACTATCCTACTTGCAAGTGTTCGTCAGTAAGATGCTACTATTGGCGTTCTTTACAGGTAACGTGATTACATCTAGGCAGAATCTTATCAATTTCAAGTGTGATTATTAATTATTCAAGATATTATTGGCATCTAAGATCTTAGTTTCTCTTCTCGAATCTCCTTGGACAAAAAAGTTTCTCGCATTCATATTAACAGTCATGCAAAAGGTAAATCCAACTTTTTGAATAAAACACCAAGGCTAAGTAGTTAATGCCAGTGTTTCTACCAAAAATGAACTATTGCCACAGGCTATTCTTTCACTCTCTCCCTCCTTGAGGATACCACTTGCTGGTAGCTTGAATGAAAAGATGTAGATAGTCCGTTTCTTGGGGGATCGGGATAGGGCCCAAGGGTGGCATTAGTTACAAAACGCAACAAAGTAGGCAGAATACAGCTCTAATATAGGATTTTCTAGTGGTCTCAAAAATCTACTTTTGAATCAAGAATCAAATAAGTTAGTCAAATGGCATAGCATATAAAAAATTGGTATCAGAGAAAGTGATACAGGAATACATTAAAAGGCGTCCTTGACATTCACTTCTGTCCTTCGACTCAAGATCGTACGTGGCAGTATGGTGGGTCGAGATTATATGATTAACTGTCGTGGATAGAATCCCGCTGGGGGTCAAGTCGAACTTTCCGTCCACTCCATTCTGGATAAGAATACATTTTCGGAGCAAGACTATGCGAAATTCAATGGAGGCTTGGGGGATAATGGTAGCTTCGAAGCCTACGTATGATGCGAAAAATTACTTTCAACGCCACATTATAAGAAAAGTGGTTCCACGCCCAAAATTCGATTAAGTAAATAAAGCAAAAAATTGACTTTTGCGATAAATATCTCACTTTTGACGTGGCGTTGGCCGTGAAATCAAATAATAAACGTGCTAAATCTGCGAATAGTACATGCTGCCAGTGAACCGACATGTTTTAGGCTCGACGCCTGCAGCAGTTAGACTGCTGTCAACCCATAAAAGAAGAAGTGGCGAAAATTCTGTAGAATAAAGTCAGTGAGAAAGTTACGCCTCCTCTTCAGCAAAATGTTCTCAGATCATAGCAATCAAGCTGCATTACGATGGCAAATGTCCACCTAAAATGTAATCATTTGCTGTAATGTTAAGGCTATAAATTCATATTGAAATATGATATGGCATAAAATTCACTTCTGTCTTGTGCACACCCAGCGGATGCTGAGACCCGGATGAGAATGTCTTTTGGAAAGCAAAGCTATGTGAAATTTAATGTAAACAAGAGGCCTACTCATGTGATTGCGGGAAAATTCACCACATCAAGCTAAATATGACGAATACAGCTCTTAGATAAGATATATGAGTAGTTTTGAAAGCCCGTTTATAGACATAAAAATAGAAATAAATGCTATAAAAAGTGTATTCACCCAACTACTTTTAATGTGATAGGGGGACTGTTAGATGAATTTTTCCCACATTGGCATGATTAGACCTTACATTTTCATTAAATTTCACATAGCCTTACTTCCCAAAAGATATTCACATCCAGGCTGAAGTGGACTGCAGTTTCGAACTCACCTAAGTCTTATTTGTCAACACCCCCAGTGGGACTTGATCCACGATGGAACATCACGGAATCTCGAAACTTTAACCACTACGCGTTTCAGATAAGAAAAAATTTAAAATGTGAGCCCCTTGAAGAGCTTTAAGTCGTGGCAATAAATAAC